CAATATTACGGAAAGGAAACTTGAGGGAAAAGTGGGTACGTCTATGCAGACGCATGCACTTCTGTAAGCAAATGGTGACACAGCTTCAGGAGTAATTATTAAATGATAGTGTTTTCTAAAGGCCAAAGGTATATTTGCACCCTCCAATTATTTTTTTTTCACGGTCAACACATTTCAAAATTTTTTTTTCTTATTCACACCCTTAATTTTTCAAAATCCGTGAAAAACCTAACATTTTAACGTGCCGTCATGATACCGTTACAAAATGCACTACGTGACACTCAAAACTTAACATGACATTATATATCGTTAGTAATCTAATGTGGCTACTTTTTAATCCAATGTAGACTTTTTTTTTAATGACGTGGCATATTTTTTTGTGAATAACTTCAAAAAAAAATTAGAACTAATAAATTAAAATATATTGAACTTTAATTTTTAATTTTCTCATCTTCTTGCCTGTTTGAAAAAAATTTTTTTTTTTCTCATCTTCTTCTTTCTCCTCACCCTCAGCATCGTCTTTACCATCTCTTCATCATCCTCCTGGGTTCCTCGTGGAACTCAGATCTGGGTTCCACGAGGAATTCTGGGTTTCTCGTGGAACCCAGATCTGAGTTCCACAATCTAAAAACCCAGAGATTTTAAAACAGATCTGCAAAACATTTTGGGGATTTAGGGTTTGTCTTCATTTTCCTCTTAATCCTCACTAAGCTTTCCACGATCTTCCTCTTTCAACATAGTCAGTAATTGAACCTATCCGTATGATTTAAAACAGATCTGCTTTTTTTATTCTTGGCCATTTCCAGACAGTGAGTGATAGAGAATAAAGGCTCGGAGAATCATTATTTTCCATCAAATCGCCAATCCAGTCAATGGTATTATCCAGTCTTCAAATTTCCAAAAAAACACAGTACTTGTTCCCTGTTTACCTGTTTTTACATTTTAATCTCACAAGTGCCTCCGGTGCTAAGTAAAGTTGGACCACCTATCCATCCATTGTAACGAGTTCTATTCCTTGTGTTTAGGCTTCTCCTTCCCCAATTTCCAGGACAGAAGAACAGTACCCAATTGAATTATAGAGCAATTAGCCATATCAAATTTGAAAAAATTGGAGTTAAGGATGGTAGCAAGTCAGACAATGAAAATGCCTCAAAAATTGCGCTCAAAATGGAAAATAATTCCATTCACACATCTAATTGATTCATCATTCTTGCCACTCCCAAAAACGATTCAAACGAAATCAAAATTCGAAAAATGTCTCCCACCTAAGGGCAAGGCATCTGAAATTGCTATTGGATCTAGACTTCCCCCATTAGTTAAAACCACTGAAGATGAAGATAAAACAGCAAGAGCTATTGAATCCAGGGCTCTAAAAATGGAGGAAGTTAGGAATCCGGATGCAGGAGATGCCTTGCGAAGAAACACCCAGGGAGGGGAAAAAGGGGAAGACTCAAGAGGAAAACCCTAAAGAGAGACCCCAAAAAATGGAGGGTTTGGTGTCTCGCAGCTATGACTCGAAACGCTTCTATGGTTAGCTGTGGAAGGCGATCTTAAGGGCTGCGCTTATAGATAGCAGACGGAGCAAATAAACCCAAGATGAAAAACTAAAAGGAAGAAGAAGAAGAACTCGAAATATACGAACAGAGAGGCGTGAACCAGAGCCAGGAATAAAAAAAGCTTTCTGCAGATCTGTTTTAAAATCTTTGGGTTTTTAAGTTTTGTTTTTTTTTTTTTATGGTGGGAACGCGGGGACATGCGGGAAAAGTCCCGCGCAGTGGGTTCCACTGCACACGTGGATGCCACATCATCAAAAGGTAGATCCACATTTGAACCTAACGAATAAGAAAACGCCACATGTACCATGTCAATTTTTGGGTGTCACATAGTACATTTTTTAACGGTGCTATGACGGCTCGTTAAAATATTAGGTTTTTCACGGATTTTGAAAAGTAGACGGTGTGAATAGGAAGAAAAAATTTTGAAAGGTGTTGACCGCGAAAAAAAAATAAATGGAGGGTGCAAATAGGTGCTTTGGCCTTTTCTAAAGGCTCAACTTAATTTCAAACGGTCAGTTTCACCCACCGCCCATGGCCGAAAAAAAAATAGTCAGTACCACCACTGAAAACAAACAAATAGGATATGAAAATTTAACTTGGTAGATGTAACCACTACCGTCTTGATATCAAGACAAATGCCAAAGACAAATGAAGGGTTTAGATAATTGATATATCATCTAAGAAATGTTGTATGTGTTGCCATGTGTTTGATGGTGATACCAACAACGATACAGAAGATATATATGTTCTTCAAAAAAGATTCAGCATCACAAATTAAGCACAGAGTATGCAGTTCTAATCCCTCCTAAGAGGTACTTGGTCCTTCAAAAAGCATATCATTAATTTGGTGAAAAATTGGAAGAAATGGGTGGGCATTTTCAGTCAAGATGGGTGCAGTTTATCATCTCAGAGAAGTGCACAAGAAAAAGCAGTGCCCCGTTATGATTAAAGCATGAAAAGACCCAAATTTTGAGTAGTATTCACATATACAAGAACTGTGAGATAGATTAATTAAAAACCATCAATTCATTATGCTATTAGGTGAATGGTGAGATCATGAATTCATGACGCTTAAATGAATCAATAGTCAGTGAGAAATCAATTAGAGTAAAGACTCCGTTATCATTGATCAGTTACAAAATAAAAACCTAGTTCTGTCATCAATAGTCAGTGAGGGGGTATTTTACGGTGTGTAGGGTGGGTTGAAGTGCCTCCAAAATGATAGCATCCTCATACAGAACCTAGTTTGACAAATGGGCAAATGCATGCATATAAACGTGTATGATTATGCTGGGAATTAGGCTGCAGCATCATAGAAGCACAAATTTGGTAAAGGATGGTATAAGTAGACCACAAGTGCACACAAATCATACAGACCAACATCCTAATGTTAAAGAAAGTTGGAATATAAAGGTAGTCGTTAGCTATCCCATGGATCTGAGTAATGATGTGTAACCAAGAAGTAATAACAAATCCACTAATATGACCCAAAAGAATTTAATAAAACTGATGGTATGAATTTGAATGATACATACAAATTGCAAACGAAAATTTTGGATCTATTCATTTAAGATACTCAGAAGCAAATGATTGCATCAACTATATAAGCCAATAAAATTAGCAATGCACCACTACAAAATAATGCCAGATGCTATCAAAAGGGGAAAGAACAGTGACATACATAAATCACTGCAGCGGATCAGCTGACATCCTTGAGTCTTTTTATCAATGAATCCAGAGATTTCTTCTTTGGGTTCTGCCTGGCTCCCCTACTTCCAAAGGTTCCAAATAGCCTGTCTGAGTGGTCCCTTAACTTCTCTGAAATTGTTACTACCTTCCTGTAGTCCAGAGTACTGTAACTCTTCTCCCTGATTACTGGATTCAGAAAATTCTCTGGATGATTACTTAAAAGCAAATTGATCAATTGCCTAGACTCTGCAAGTGCATTTTTCAACTGATTTGCATCCCCTTCTGAGAAAAGAGGAGCAAGGTTATCTGCAAAAGATTCCAACAGCCGGATATCAATATCAAGCCCCATTATGGCGTTTACATTAAACCTCTTAACTGAATCCCCAAATAAAGCCCCAACAATCTGCCCTGATATGTGAGAAAGAACATCTTGTAGAACTCTTTTAAGAACCTGAGTTGGCAATATCTGTTGTGCAGTAGCAACCAGAGTTTCCAGGTATATTATCACCTCATTCACATATTCATTCCCACCCTGTGATGGCTCATCGACCATCCAGTTCACATTCTCAATCAGCTGCATGAAGCCATCAACCTTTGTTTTGAGCAGACCAGAAAGCATCACTTCTGCTGCATCACGAGCTTTGTTAAGAGGGAACAGCCTCCTACCCCTCTCTGCCATTCTCAAGGGAATGCCAGAAAGCTGAGCGGCATGACGGAAGAAGAAATCACAAGCACGCTCCAGAACTGCCATATTTGCTGCAACCTGCATTGCCTGAGAAACTCCATGGACAGATGTATTAATAAGCTTCAGAAGAGCCCCATCTAAAACCTCACCTAAAAGCCGGTCCAAATACTTCTTAACAACATCATAAAATTCCAAGTGCCCACCATATGACATGAAACTAACAGAGTCCTCAATAAATGACCGAACAATACGGCAACAATCAGGCACAGTAGATGAAAATGGTGCAATATAAGGAAATGCTGGGATAATATCTGAAGTTTGTATCTGGAAAGAAAGCACATTCATGGAGTATTCATACTCCTTCTTCATCAACATTTGCTCAAACTTATCAGCAGCAAGGGCTTCTGCAATCTGCTTTCGACAATCAGACAACAATAACTCATGGTATTTATCCCTATGCTTGCTCAACACATCAAGCAAAGCATCCACAGGGTACCCATACCTACGCAAGGTGACTCCTAACAAACTAACATAATCCTTGATCAACAACAAATGATTTGCAGTTTGCATCCTGGAAAACTGATCCTCTAGCACTGAACACATTTTACTCACGGCAGTCTCCCACAAATTCTCAACCTCAAATTTCGAAATCAAACCCCCTCCAGTCCTAAAAACCCGATCTTCTACTATGAAAAATCCGGCAATTTGTGCAAAGAAAGTCTGATGGGATTCAAGAAACGAATTCATAGAAGATACCTGAAAATCTGACGTTAATTGGAGCCTCCGGTTTTCAAAATAATACTGCTTGAACCTATCCTCGAGCCCTAATGTCTGGTGTATGTGATATGCTCTATAAAGGGGAGTCAAATCGAACCCTAACCAACCACTATTGCCATTAGCATATCCATCCTTATCGTCTCCGATTCCGCTTCCGAGTTCATCTTCATCGTCTTCTTCTTCCAAGGCATAAGCGCAGTCTCTCAAGCTGAGTCGAGTCTGCTCCTCGGCTTGTCTCTGCTTCATTCTTAGCTCCTCTTCACGCTGCCTGGCGGACGAGGCTTGGCCGATCGCCAATTGCCCCAAATTGCGACTCACAACGCGGATCTCAACGAGCCAATCACCGAACTCCTTGCTAACTTTCTTTTCGATGTGCGATCGAATCGCCGGAATCTTCCTCTCCAGCATTCTCTTTAACGTCGAAGACGGCGTTTTATCCAGGAAATCACTCTCGATCGAATCCAAACACCTCAACGCCATGTAGAGATTCCCATTCGAGAGATGATAATTCGCTCTAGAACATAGCTCCATCAGCTTAACACAAGAAGCAACAGATGTCAAAGCAAAGTCCACGTTTTTGGAGATATTCTGCGCCTCCACATAAGCATCCAGAGAAGCGAGAAGCGGACCAGCAACAGACTGGAGTTTGGAGTTGGAATCGGAAAGAGCAGATTTGAGAGAATCAACATCGGAAAGCAGAGATCGCAGGTCATCGACGGCAAGGATGAAGTCTTGGTAATGAGCTTTACAGACTTCCTCTATTTCAGATTCCTTGGAGCGGGAGAAGTAGCGGAGGAGGTGGAGGAGGGTCTCGGGCCTGCCCGAGGCAAAGGCTTTACGGACGAAGGGGCCTAGTTCCTCTCCGTTGCAGATGGCGGAGGAGAGAAGAAGCTGCTCCGACTTGTCGCCGGAGTCGCCACCATCCGCAGAAGGCGCCACTTTGCGGCGAGACTTGGTGGACTGCATTCCTTTTCAATAACCGTCAAGGGTCGTGGTGGTGGTCGTGGCGGACCCGGAGGAAGGGGGAGATGAGATAGATGAATTAGGACAACGAGAAATATGCGATTGGTTTTGGGATTTAAAAATACGTTTGGACGAAAATGACACTACAGTTTTGGGACATTTGGCGGTTGTACGGGCATTTTAGTAATATCGTTTGGAAGAGGTACCACCGGTGAACGGAGACGACTTTGTTTGACTTGTTCGACGGCGAAGCCGCCGGTGATCGTTTCTCGGTGAAATTTGCCCTTCTTTATTTTGGCGGTTTGCTGAAATGAATCTTCGTAAATAGATAGGGTGATAGACAGATAGGCAAGTATGGCAATTTATTCTGTCATTATGTAGTTAGTTCAATTACATCAATTATTATATTGATATTAATTATTTAAATAATTTAATAATTATTATTTTTTTTTACAAAAATTAAAAAATTTTAAATTTAATTCTAATAACATATATAAATGAAGTAAAATAAAAGATAAAAAATAATTATATTTTATTATTATTCAAATAAAATAAAAAAATCCATTGTATTGATGAGTTTGTTATATTATTATTATAATTTTATTTTGATTGCACAATTCACAATGGGAGACAATCACTTCTCATTCTTTATTTCATTTCACTCGTATGTTATATAACTCAAATTTAGAATTTTTTACTTTCAACGAAAGAAAATAATTACTGAATTATTTAGATCGATGATGAATTTGTTATATTATTAAGAGTCTCTTTCTAACTTAATAATAATGTTTTATAATTTAATATAATTTTTACAGTTAAATAACTATTAGATAACAAAATATTATGATGCTTTTCCTCTCTTTTGCTAGCTATAAATAAATAAATAAATTTATATTAGTATTTTTAAAAATAAATATTGTTAAGAGTTAGTTAATTAAAATTGAAAGTTTAAAATAAAAACGTTGAACTCTAATCTAAAATTTAAAACTATAATTAGATATTAGTCCTGACAAACTATTGTTGAGGTAAGCAACTCTCTCAATGTTGCTATCATTTCTGTATTATCCCCATGATATCAAGTAAATATCATTTATTTTATTGATTCTGACATAAATGCTTTCCATTATTATGACACACGAAAAGATTGCACTAACCACCTCTGGTTTGGTGACCTAATGGTGCACATGTAAAATCGCTGAGCTTCCCACCATTACCCTTACCATAAAAAACAATAAATATAGAGAAATAAGCAATTTTTTTTTTTAGAAAGGTTTATAAACAATTTAAATAAAAGTCAAAGTAAAAAACAGTAAATTTTAATATTTAAAATGTTAATATATTTAATTTTAATTATATAATTTTAGAAAATTTAAGTAAGATTTTATATGTCTAATTTATTTTGTAATTATAATTAAATATCATAATTTATTTTTGAAGTCAGCAATCATGATGATTTGTATATTTTCATTTAATGTTAATAATAACTCAAATTAATTAATTAAGTATCTAGAAGGTGAGATCTCATAATTACAAAGTTTGCACCTTATGAGAGGTCTTTACAAAATTTTCTTTGGTTATAAAAATGCTATACTTATAATATTAAGGTAAATTATAAATTTACAATTATAATGTATTATTAAATAATTAACTCTTTTAATTTAGAGATTTTTTTCATAATATTTGTATGTATTTACTTAATTAATGATATTTTATAATTATAAATTTTATAATTTGATATAATATTATGATTACATTATTATCATTTTAATTATAAGTTAGAGAGGCTTCCTATGGTTTAGTTGCTCTTTTTTTTTTCAGCAAAATATTAGTATATACTTAAAAATAAAATTAAAATATCCTCAAATTTATGGAAAATTATCTATAGTAAATACTACTCCTATTTCGGTTTTTTTTTTTTGGTCAAGGAGATTTTGATTTCAGTAAAAAAAATAAAAATCAAGATGTCTTAATACTAAAAAATATTAAAACATTTAATTAAAATTATTAAACACTTAATAAATAATCATAATTAAATATCTTATAATCTTAATATCAAAACTTCTTAATTTTTCGTATGTGCTTCCAATAATTAAAAAATCTGTGTTTTAAAAAAGGTTCCTGTATATAAAATAGAGAATAATCAAAACCCTAGCTCTGTGAAGGAGGGAAGGGCATATACTTCTGGGCGGTCGCTCCCGAAAGTTGCGACTTCACCGGCATCGGCGGCAATGGTACGTTGTCTCCCTTATTTCGCATCCCCGACAGGGGCCGCCGTGGGTTCATTCTATGTCTGATGCTTAATTTTTTGTGCTGTTTCAGGGTATCGATTTGGTGGCCGGTGGCAAGAGCAAGAAGACCAAGAGAACTGCTCCAAAATCTGATGATATCTACCTCAAGCTCCTCGTCAAGGTCCTCCTTATTTCTCTGTTTTAATCCTATATTCATGTCAATCACTTTGAGTATTTACATGGGTGTTCTTGAATCTGTGAGCAGCTCTACCGGTTTCTGGTGAGGAGGACGGAGAGCAAGTTCAATGGAGTGATACTGAAGCGTCTTTTTATGAGCAAGGTCAACAAAGCACCGTTGTCTCTCTCTCGATTGATTAGTTTCATGAAGGGGAAGGTACTCAGCTCTTCCTTTTGCCGGTTTCTTTCTTCTAATTCATTAGTTTGCATTGTAAAATGTAGAGAAAGCTTCAATTGCCTTGTTACTGGAAAATTCTTTTTGTTGGGAGATTTGATTGTAATTTTGTGATTTACCGTTTACCCTGTTCTGGGTTTGATCGAGCCAGGAGGATAAGATTGCTGTGGTGGTTGGGACGGTAACTGATGATATTCGTGTGTATGAAGTTCCAGCTCTGAAGGTTACAGCGCTGAGGTTCACAGAGACAGCAAGGGCAAGAATTGAGAAGGCTGGTGGAGAGTGCTTGACTTTTGACCAACTTGCTCTTCGAGCTCCTCTTGGTCAGAACACGGTATGCATTTTGACATTATTGCTTGCTTAAATTTGATATGCAATTGTTTGATATTTGGTGTCAGGCAGCATGCCTTAGGCTTTGGATATAAGACTTAACAAACCCACTTGTAGCATATTACATGTGTTTTTAGCTAACCTTTTCTTTGTAGTATGGTACATGTCTTAGGTTTAAAGTTTAAATGATACTATAATTTCTTATGATAATATCATAAAGGATGGGAAGGAATTGTTATGGTCTTTCCTACATATCAGGGTTTGGACATTCATTTAACAATGAAATATTTTATGATAGGACACATGTTTGAGTCTTTAAGGTAAAGCAAACGAGGGGGGTTTTTTTTTTTTTTTTTCTATATTGGTTTTTAGAGAACTTTTGCTTTTGCAGTGGTCCAAAAGTACCCCTTAACTTTCCTTCCATTGTGGTAGTTCTCATGTAGCTTTAGGCATGGTATGTATGAGATGGTTTAGTGGCTTAGTGGTTGCACAATCATCCATCAAAAGCTCTGCTGATTTTACTGGCTTGGTTACAGAAACATTTCAACATGATGCTTCAGCTTTCTTATGCTAGGGCTGTAACATTCTACCAGCATTATCTCCCTTATCTTCCAAGCATATAGCTAATTTTAACATGTTAAGCGGAGTGATAGAATATTTGGAAGTGCCTTTGACTTCTGCATTTCCTAATTAATTCTGTAGTGTTGATGAATTTTTGTGCTTTTCTATTTTGAGTGAACAAGTGACTTGATTGCTTTTCTTAATTCCGTTTTTAGTTATTTTTGGTTATGATAAAAAGATTTGTTTATGAAAACTGGTTAAATTTGAGAAATATCAATTCTCTTAAGCAAAATGTATTTTAAATCTGTGTAGGTTCTCCTCCGGGGTCCCAAGAATGCTCGTGAGGCTGTGAAGCACTTTGGACCTGCTCCTGGTGTTCCACATAGCCATACCAAACCTTATGTACGGTCAAAGGGAAGGAAATTTGAGAAAGCTAGGGGAAGAAGGAACAGCAGAGGCTTCAGGGTATAAATTGTCAACCATACCGGAAGAATTTACTCATCAACCAACCAAGATCATGGAAATGCTTTATTTTACCATATTTTCAATAGTTCAAAGAAATTTAAACTGTTTTCCATTTCATGAAATAGCTCTGCTGTTTTAGCAGGATTTTTTATTTTATTTATTTAATTTTTTTTGCATTTTTGTTCTTATATTTAGAACATGCTTTTTGGTTTCTATGGAGTGATGCATACTTCGGATTTCAGTATGTTGCCATCATGCAATGGAAAACTTGTGTTACAGGCGAATGAAATAAAGCTTGGCAAGTTCACACTGTCATTGAGTCCATGACCTTTGCTCATTGCAATTGACAATGTCATTCAAGCTTTTTAAATTTTAATTTCTAAATGTCATCAAATTTATTTGGGGGAAAGACATGCGCATAAAGAACTGTTTGGAGAAGTCCTGTTCCATACTAACTCCAAAAGTATTCTTTTGGTGTAAAACTAAAAATGCTTACATGAACTTTTTAGATCTTCACCTGGAAGCAAGTGTGCGCGTTTAAACTTTAAACAGACCAACGATAAAGCATAAATTGCAGGAAGTACCACAGAAAGTACCAAAGTTAATTAGTCCGGAGATGATGCACCATAAACTCCCTGTATTATTGACTTTAGAGATAAAAGCTTTTAAAAGCTTTCAAGGGACATCACAAGCCAGAGGTAAATCAAGATTAGAATTTCTTGATGAAGTCATAAATATAAGCGTTGATTTCCTCAGGCTTTTCTTCGTTGATAAAGTGGGCTGCTCCTTCCATTACAATCACTTCCTCCAACAATGGCACATCTTTCTTGAAGCCACCTCCATGTATGTATTCTTTGACTCCATGGAAATGATAGGTAACATCCAGGTCGCCAACAATGAACTTAACTGGTACTTTGATTTGAACTCCAGTCCATGGCGCCATCAGTTCCCAGGTTCTGCAACAAGAAGATTAAGATTAACTTGGATATCACAAGGGGCTAGATAGTCATAACTACATAAGAAAATTCCAAACCTTCTTGCTTCTAAATCTCAACCAATAATACAAAGTACTGCTTGAAGAGTTAAAATAAAAGGGCCTAGTTCTCTACTCAAATGAATAAACCGTGTGATGCTGAAATAATAAATTAAGCAAGTTAATATATGAGGCTACATAATCAGCTTCACGCAATTGATCTACTAAGTTATTTTTAAGACAATGTTACAATGTTCAAAGACACTAACAAGATCCAACGGGCTAGTAAAAGCAGGAATATGGCCCAAGTATCATCAAGGTACCACTTTTTTACCATATTGGTGAGAACTGCACAGAAAAATAACATAAAAATGAAAGTTCAACATACAGGTTCATAGCTCTGTAATAGTTCAGCCCACCAGTGAACCCCTTCTGGTCAAGTTTGCTGGCATAATAATTGACATCTTCCTCAGAAAGCCAAGAGGGCAATGCCGGAGGTTCAGGTAATCCACTGAATCCTATTTCTTTAGGAAAACAAGGTGGACTGGGATCACGCATTGAAAGTAAGGTCTTCATTAATCTTGGAGTATCAACCTTAGCAAAGTCTTCTTCCGCCTCTCCAGGCTCCTGCAGCATGATAAGAAATTGAATTCAAATTATAAAGATATAAGAGAATTAAAATATGGTAGTTGAAGCAAAAAAGGTAAATGGTCTAATCCAATACTCCTTACAATGTTCAAGAACTTTGAAGCAACCTTTCAGTTTAAAACTATAACAGTCATGCCTGTACATCTTTGTTCTTGAGAGCAAGGAACAGAGGAATGTATGAGAGAGAAGCAAAGTTTTTTCACCCCTAAAGGTAATTTGTATCATAAATTGTGCCACATTTATCTCAATGCATGTTAAATGGTAGCTCATAGCTTCATATATCACTATGCATATATACTATCCTGAGTATCCTCAATTTTTCATTAGTCAAATTCCCTGGGCATCCTTCATGTGTTTTAAGGAACTGTGTATCATAACAATGAAAAACTAAAAATGGGTTTTACAAAATGGGTCAATATTAACGCATAGTGCCATAAACAGAGTTTTATAAAAAGTGAAGGATTCAAGTGCTCAAATTCAAGAACCCCTAGGTAGAGCAAGTAGTAGCTTCTCACATAGGGGTTCCTACTGGAGTTGTGTTCAAGTCCCCCCCATTCCCTTTCCCCAAAAATCCCCA